TTTTTGGAGTTAAAAAAATAGGTTTTTTGTGCTTTAAAAAAAAAGGGTTGTGTTTTGGAGTTCATGACTTTTGTTGGAGTTTAGGAGATGAATTAATGGTTTGTTGAAGAATAAACAATTTCTTGAACAAAAAATAATTTCTTGAATAACACCCCAGTTTCTGTCTAAAAATCTCGCGGCTTCGGGATATGTCGCGGCCACGGCTAACAAAAACTAGATTCTTGTGAAGAAACATGTTTCTTGCTCAAGAAACCTGTTTCGTGAGCAAGAAATTGATTTCCTGAACAAGAAACCTGTTTTCTGCTCAAGAAACCCGTTTCTTGCTCAAGAAACTGGTTTCTTGGACAATAAACCTGTTTTCTGCTCAAGAAACAACATGGCGCAAACTTTACGAGCCCGTAATCAAACCTATCTTTAGCCACGGTTGAACTTCGAGCCGCAGTTGCGGTGCTCTCTCGGCCAACCGCGGTTGGTAAGTCAACCGGCTGTGAATGATATTTTGAACTTTCAACCTAGCAAGGACAATCTTGAGCCACGGCTGAACTTCGAGCCGCGGTTGAGGTGCTCTCTCGGCCAACCGCGGTTGGAAAGTCAACGGCTGTGAATGATATTTTGACTTAATTAAAACGACAATATAGGGATCTCAAACAAACATTAATATTAAAGAAACCAGTTTCTTGAGCAAGAAACTGGTTTCTTGAACAAGAGACCTGTTTTCTGCTCAAGAAACAACATCGCGCAAACTTCGAACATGAACGATAATCCCATAACCCTAAATAGAGAATTAGTTACTCATAGGGATTTCAACACAAACATTCATATTAAAGAAACCAGTTTCTTGAGCAAGAAACTGGTTTCTTGAACAAGAAACCTGTTTTCTGCTCAAGAAACCCGTTTCTTGCTCAAGAACCTGGTTTCTTGAACAAGAAACCTATTTTCTGCTCAAAAAACAACATCGCGCAAACTTCGAACATGAACGACAATCCCCTAACCCTAAATAGAGAATTTAGTTACTCATAGGGATCTCAACAAAAACATTCATATTAAAAAAGCCAGTTTCTTGAGCAAGAAACTGGTTTCTTGAACAAGAAACCTATTTTCTGCTCAAGAAACTGGTTTCTTGAACAAGAAACCTTTTTTCTGCTCAAAAAACAACATCGCGCAAACTTCGTACATGAACGACAATCCCCTAACCCTAAATAGAGAATTTAGTTACTCATAGAGATCTCAACAAAAACATTCATATTAAAAAAGCCAGTTTCTTGAGCAAGAAACTGGTTTCTTGAACAAGGAACCTATTTTCTGCTCAAGAAACTGGTTTCTTGAGCAAGAAATAGGAACTTGGCTTTTGGGACCAACTACTCGCTGCGGCCGCGGTGAATAAATGTTCCGCGACCGCGACCAGTCTCCGCGGCCGCGAAGAACCTCCGAGGCCGCGACATTTTTAAGCAGGAGCCTGAAATTTGGGGACCCAAATTTAACTCGCCGCGGAAACTCCGCGGCCTGCGGTGAAGACTTTTTTTTTTCTTTTTTTATTAGATATACAACATTACTCCAGTTCATACATGTGGGTGCAGAAAGTGGGACTTGTCTGGGATTCCTTGTGTACATGCAGTGAGTGCAATTAATTTGCAAGGCTGGAGCATTGAAGATTTTGTGAACCCATGCTACAAGACAGAGACATACAAGAGGGTTTATGAGCCTGCAATCATGCCTATTAATGGAAGAAAGGAATGGGCAGCAACAGATTATCCTCCACCTGAGCCACCAAATTTAGAACTTGAATGGTTTTTGTATGTAAATGGTTCAGGTTATGGGTTCTGTTTATGGAAATGGTTTTTGTTTTTGGTTTGTATCTTATGGTTATCGAAATGGCTTTTGTTGGTTGATGGTTATGCTAAGTGGATGTTCATCTTGTGGTTTTGATAATTAAGTTTGTTTGTTTTGCTGCTTAATGAATGGTTCTACTATAAGGAATGTCATTCATGTTCAAGAATTGTTTACTGATGAATGCATTAGTTAGTTCAGGTTTTGACAGGTTTTGACATCAATAATGCTGTTAAAATGGGTATAAACACAATACACAATGTTTAAACATGAAATGGTTATAAACACAATATACAATGTTTAAACATGAACATGTTTACTTATAGTCAAGTACCAATAAGATCAATACAAAGCTGCAGCAATCCATTAAAACACTTCAAGCAACAACAATCCATTAAAACACTTCAAGCAAAAAAAGTTATAGCAATCTATTATAACAAACAAAACAAAGTTCTCACTACCTGACAGAAACAGAAAGCTCACAATGACAGACCATCACTGAAGAAAAAATAAACAAAAGATACATCTTTCACCACTTGACAAAATTAAAAATGATGAACAGAACCCATGTTGCAGCAACAAACACTTCGAGCTTCCAGATTTTTTGTCGAATTTTGGAAAATTCTTCCACATAAATGTCCTGCGCATGAAATTGGAGTTCAACACTCTCCTTCATTTTTTTGTTCTCGGCTTCAAGCAGTAACATCTTGTTCTTGAGTTCAATCAATTCATTGGCCAGAAGCTGATTGTTCGAGCTATTTGCTTCATCTTCCCATTTAAAGAACTTACAACCCCCTTTCTGCCAATTCTTGCATCCATGAAACTTCTTACCGGGATTTGATGGAGTCTTGGATGTGCGTAGTTGATCTCTCAAACCGCAATCGCAAAACAGATTAGAAGGAGATAAGAACGAAGAAGAAGAAGACATCGGCGGTTTATCTCGCTCAAGTTGTTCGCTCTCCCAGTCAGTCGACCTTCCAAGAAATATATGAAAAAATTAGGGCTTTGATTTGGAGATTTGGTTTAATTGGGTATTTAAGGGGAGAAAATGTGTGATGTGGCAATCATATTTTCCACCTAGCATAATAAAAATGACAAAATGTGGTGATGTGGCAATATGATTTTCCACAAAGCACAATAAGAATTATTATATTAACATGAAGAGTCCACATCAGATAAAATAAATGCCACATGACAGCCACGTCGAATTTTAATCCGGGGTCGGATAAAATAGGACCAAATTTTTGATTAAATGGACAATTTATAGGACCGAAAATGAAAGTGGCCAATGGCGAGGTGCATTTTTGGAAAGTGGCCAACTTAGAGGACCGATTTTGAAATTATGCCCAAAAAGAGGTGTTCTAAGTACCAAAAAATCATGAAGCTTTTGATTTGTTCAACAATTAACATCATACCTCATTAGTAGATGTCGTCGTTTCTGCCATGTTCGAAGAAATGAAGAAGATCTGCATTCAAATTAAGAAGATCAAAAACTAAAAAAAAAAAAA